AGTGTTCTGAAACATGTAAATGCTGACCACTTCAGATACCATGTCCAGTGAGATTAACTTTCATCATTATTAAACTAAACATAGTAGAAAAGGAAAACGGTGACAGCCAACTAAAACACCTTAAATTATTATTTAAGTTCTTTTTTGGGGGGTGGGGGGAAGAATGAGATTAACTAAATCAGCTCTGAATGTTCAGAATTCAGCCAGCTGTGTCTGAGCACCACTTCTATTTACTCATGCAGCAGTTATTTGGAGAGGAAGTGGAAGAACAAGATAAGCTACAGTCTGTGTATTTTTTAAGTGGGTCAAAACACACAGATACCTATGGAAAAATAAATCATATGATAAAGAAAGATAATCTTTTTTATTTTTAAAAATCCATCTAGATGCCTTAGAGTTGACTTTAGTAGCTACACAGGCAAGAAAAGATGAATAAGGCTCTCTGGATCCCCATCCCACTCTTATCCTGTCTTCAAATAGAGCAACTCTGCTTTCATTTGTTCATGTGGCATTCTGCATAAACTTTGATTTTTAAAAAATTGCACTGTTAAAATTCTGTCTTAAAGTACAAAAGACAGAGAAAAAGCATAGGTCAGTTTTTCTAGCTCATATATCATATTTCCAAACAAATGACCACAAATCCCAGATACTACACAGCAGAAAAGGATTTCATTCCACCGTAAATCTACCCTTATAATTTTGTGCCTAAATTTCATTGTCACTGTACTTACTATATAGCAATTCATGTTTATTAAAAACCCATAAATACAGAAAAGTTTTTTATTACTCATAAAGTATATAAAGTTACCATTTATAATTTTAAGCTGTTGTTTAACTTCTTAGGGTAGAAAGAATTTCAGACCCAAAAAGATACTTACAGAAGGTTTAAACAGCTTTCTGTCCGAAAGAAAGGCTTCTCGAAACACTTTTATGATCATATTTAGTTCCCGAAGATACTGTCTTTCTTCTGCAATTTCAGTTCTCACAAGATCATAGTAGTTTAATTCACCTGAAGAACTAGGTTCTTCTTCACAGAGAGAAACCAAACCTATGTCATCCTGATCAAACATGTCCATCAAAACCTGGGAAATATAAATTAATAACAAGTAAATTTAATTTCCTTACTTTTATAAAATTGCCTCAAAGTATTAAAAAATTAAAACATTGGGACCAGCAGTTGGCAAAATGGCTATGTCGTTGGACTCCCATGTAGTCAACTGAGGTTCGAGTCCCGGGCCGGTGGCTTAAACTCATGCCGGGTGCATGTTCATGTGTGTCCAAGATCCCAAGAGGAGAATGGAGGAGAAGGGACTACAGCATAGCCATGCCCCCTAGGGGGGTGATTTCTCACTTTCTGTCTCTCTGTCTTCTGTCTTTCTGGCAAGTGTACACACCCTAAAGCAAAAAACCTCTGAAAAAAAAAAAGTAAAAATAATAATAGTAATAATAATAATTAAAACATTACTGGACCAGCAGGTGGCATAGTGGTTAAAGCACTAGACTCTCATGTAGATGACTTGGCTTAAGTCCTGGACCTGACAGCTTGATTTCTCACTTTCCCTCTGTCTGTCTCTTTCTGTTGAGCATACTGCCCCGATGGTGAATTAAAAAATAATAATAATAATAAATAAAATAAGTATTTTTTAAAAATTACTAAACAATGAGAGCTATGTGTGTTATAGGCAAATTTACATGTGCACTCCAGACATGGGAAGATGCCGCTGGTCTTGACTGGCTGAAGCTGGGTGATAGATTGCAGCCCAAAAACCCTATTGAGAGTGCCTGTCTCTCCCTCTGCCCCTCTATCTACTTCTCTCATGCAATAAATAAATAATCTTTTTTTTGGGGGGGGAGGAGGTTTTTGCTATAGGGCGCGTGTGCTCGCCAGACAGACTGAGAGAGACAGAGAGACAGAAAGCGAGAAATCACCCCTCAAGGGGGATGGCCATGACACAATCCCTTCTCCTCCATTCTCCTCTCAGGATCTTGGGCACACACGAACAAGTGCCCAGCATGAGTCTCAAGCTACCAGGTCTGGGACGCGAACCGCGGTCGACTACATGGGAGTCCAGCAACATAGCCATTACGCTAACTGCTGGTCCCTAAGTAAATACTCTTAAAAACAAAACAAAACCTCTCAAAATGTGAATACTTATGACAAGGAAAAATGCTTCAAATAATAGAATTGATTTGTTTTGAAAAATAGTCTTACTTAATGTAGTCCAGGAGATAGAGTTAATGAATGAAAGTTAATACAGAAGCCGGTTTTAACTTTGTATGAGAAAGAAATTTCACCTTATTAGAATTTCACAAATATGAATTAACAATTTTGTGAGGAACAGGTTTGCCATGCCCAGAGACTAAGTAATCACTTGCCAATATGCTGCAAGGATTCATGTCTTCTATTTTTGAAACTGTGTAATCTCTTAGAATTTAACTGCTTCTGCCTTTAAAGAGTCATAGAAAAAAATGAACCTACAGTTTCTCAACAATTCAATTCAAGGACACTAGGGAATGAGGACAGAGGGAACAAACAAAGGCAAGAATTCTTTCAGAGTAGGAGATAAAGAAATGCTGTGGCGGTCCATCTTAGGGTGTCTAATACTGAGCAGAACAAGGAGGGTGTCTGCACAGCCTGATGCTGGAGACCAATCAGGATAAAGAGAATATTCATATGATAGGGCAGGTTGGTACAGATGTTGGAGCCTGAGTGCGCAAAAAGAGCATTTGTGTGGGAAGGTGACCTAGCACAGTATATCAGAGCCCCTCTTTAAGGTGAGGGGAATGGGGAAAGTAGCTGCCCTGCATGGGATTGTCAGAGCTTAATTTGGGTAAGAAAGGCATATACAAAAGGAAGGTGTCTACAGCAGAGGCAGGGAGAGACTGGTTACATATGAAAGGATGGATCAAATCAAGTATATTCAGAAAAATGGGGAACCAGGCTTCTCTTTCACAGAAAGGAGTTAGAAAATGGAAATGGGAAGGCTAAAACAAAGTGTGTGATGGGACAGCCTGTGATGTGGTGAAGACGGCTAGAACCCAGACAGCCAGGTGTGCACTTCGAGGCCTGGGCCAACAGCTTGAGAAACACACTGGGTGCCATCAGGAACAAACACATGCCCAAAATCCCAAAAGGAGGGAGATGACAAAGGGACTGTGGCATGACCATGCCCCATGGGATGTAGTTTCTTGCTTTCTATCTCTCTGTCTCTCTGGTGAGTGCATGAGCGCTCTGGCAGAAATTAAAAATTAAAAAAAAAAGTAAAACAAACCCTGTGATACTGGATTTGGGTTAGAGAGGAGAAATAAATATACATTTGTGCATACATGATATAGACACATACATATATATACATATATACATATTCTCTAACTCTGGCCTCTAAGAGACCAGAACACTGACAGCCCAAAAGTATATAAATCTTTGTTTCTAAATACCATTCTCCACCAAAAAGGAACTGTTATTTTTGTTTGTTTTTGTTTTTAAGAGGTTTTTGCTATAGGGTATTTGTGCTTGCCAGAAAAACAGAGAGAGACAGAGACAGAAAGCAAGAAATCACTCCCGCTGTTATCCCTTCTCCTCCATTCTCCTCTTGTGAACTTGGGCACACATAGACACACACCCAGCGTGAGTTTAAGCCACCAGGTCTGGGACTCAACCATGGTCAACTATATGGAAGTCCAGCAACATAACCATTACACCATCTGCTGGTCCTTTTTTTTTTTTTTTTAAGAGAAAGAACTAATTCCAGGGCTTGAGCAGCAGGTAAAGAATAAGCTGAATCTGGAACATACTGTATCAAAAGGAAGAGGTCTAGAAAGACACAGACCACATGTTCTCACTAGATGTAGAAACTAAAGAAGCAGAGAGTATAATGGTGGTTTCCAGAGGCTGGAAGTTGGGATGTATGGTAGACAATGGTCAAAGTCTTAATTAGACTGGAGGAGTAAGTTTTTGTCATAGATTTTTTTGTTTGTTTTTTGAGATCTATTGCACAGCGTGGTGAATATATTAAATAACAATGTATGAAACATTCTGAAATCACTAAGAAATTTTCAAATGTTCTCGCCACAAAAAATAGTAAGTATTTGAGGTGATAAATATGTTAATTAGCTTGAATTAATTATTCTACATTGTATTCATAAATAGTAGTATCACTTTGTACTCCATAAATACATACAATTAAGAGCTGCAGGTGGAATGGTGGTTGAGGTACTAGACTCCCACATGGCCAACCATGGCTTGAGTGCCAGACCTGGTGGCTTGCTTTCTCACTTTCCCTTTCTCTTGTTCTCTCAGTATCTGTCTCTGGTCAGATTAAAAAATAATAAATAAAATTTAACAACTATTTCTTTAAAAAATACATACAACTAAAATTTTTCAATTTATAATTTAAAAATAAGTAACAAGAGAAAAAGTATTCAGAGTGACAAGGACAGAGAATTCAACTTGGAGCTCCCACTGACCAAATCTGGGATAATCTAAACATCTAAATAAACAATGAACAAATGGTTTATAGCTCAGTGAATAAATAAGAATTTACAGGGTCTAGCAGGTGGTTTGCTTGGTCACTCTTCCTCTTCCCAACCCCCATTTCTCTCTGGTGAATGCACGTCCCCTATAGCAAATTTAATAATAATAATACATAAAATTAAATAAATAATTATATTTTTTTAAGTTAGGTTATTTATTAAGGAGTGGCTATAACCATAATTTTGAAAGTCAAAATAGAAATAATAGGAATTCTAACTATAAAATGTAAGTAAAAAACTATTTTTCAGGGTACCAGCAGATGGTGCAATAGTTACTTCACTGGACTGCCATGTAGTTGACTACGGTTCAAGACCTGGACCCAGTGGCTTGAACTCACGCTCGGCACATGTGCGTGTGTACCCAAAATCCTGAGAGGAGACCCAGGGGGGATAGCCACACCGCAATCCCTTCTCCTCCATTCTCCTCTCAGGATCTTGGGCACACCTGCACACATGCCCAGCATGAGTTTAAGTCACTGGGTCCAGTACTCAAACCATGGTGGACTACATGACAGTCCAGTGACATAAACATTATGCCATCTGCTGGTCCCTGCCATATTTTTATTTTGGACTAAAATTTCCTCTACTACAGAGATTGCTATCTTATTCCGTTTTTATCTTCAATACTCAGGACAGTGGCTGGCTCTTAAAAGTTACTTAGAAAATGCTGATTTTTAAAAATAACCTGTCACAGTGGCATACAGAAAGCTCCACTGCCCAGGATATTGCAGGCCACATGGGAGGTCAGGCTCAGTTCTTAGATGGATGGAACACACCTGGTGTGGTTGTGCCCAACTACAATCCTCACTGGTTGGGAGGTTTGGGCAGAAGGACTACAATGCAAACACTGCCAAAAATTCCTGTCTCCCAAGGGCTACGCTGTGGTGCAGTAATAAAATTAGATGCTCTACAAGACAATCTCACAAGAGTCCAGAGATCTCCTCAGGTATGACAAGTAGGTGTCATGATCCAAAGGTGGCTGATCAGGGTGGTGGCTGGGGACAGATCATGACATCTAGACTCTGTTGGGGGTGCTATCTCTCTCCTGCTCATGTTAGAAATAAATACATTTAAAATTTTAAAAAGAGGGACAAGGTGGTGGGGCAGTAGCAATGTGACCAGATTCATACAGAAAAGGTCCATGTCTCACGACCTCCTTGAGCATGCCAGTCATGCTTGTGTTGGTATCTGGGCTGGCTGAGATGCATGGTGAATTACAGAGTAAAGACCCTGTTGGTGTTGTGTCTCTTTCTGTTTCTCTTTCTTGTGGAAGAAATAAGTAAATAACTTAAGAAAAAAAAAAAGAATATCTATCTTTCTCTCCAATAAAGGGGAAAAAAAAGAGAGTGAGAGGAGCAAAAGTAGGAAGGGAAGAAAAGGAGGAACAGAAAAAAGAAAAGACTCTAAATTTCTTCCTTTAAGTAGCCTACAGCCAGGAAAGAAAATAGATATGTATAGAAAAAATTATCAAAAGGCAGTAACTTTGGTCCTACGGTTTTTTTCTTTCTGCCTGTGCTCCACGAAATTATTCTGTAAAACCAAAACATGTTCTTCAAAATTACTTATCCTTAAAATACCTGAGCAGAACCTTGTATATTCTCTTTCTAAATATATAAAACTCAAAACTACTTTTCTTAAAGTGATTTAACTCTTAAGATGGTTTTTCCTGGAGGTAACAATATCCTTGATAGAAAAAAAAGAAATCCTCAGCCTTTCACGAGATTAAAAACCTGGAAATATCATGATTACTCTAGAAAGTCAGGATTTTTCTGTCCTCCAATACCAGGAATTATAAAAAACACTAATATAATCATGTATGAGAAAAGATTGAGGTAGAAATGGCATATAGTCACTATTTTTAAATTAAGTTTACATAACTTAATTATTAAAGTTTTAAGACTTACCTTATCTGCACACATTGACACTTTAATGTCCTGCTGTGATATTTCATAATGTCGAATGTTAAAAACATAATTACCAGCCAATTTCAAAATATCAGCTGAGATATATTCTAGTACAGCCACAATATATAAGGACACAGGGTAGTCTACTTTGTACCCTAAAACTTCCTGTGGAAAAAAAGAAATAATTTAATTTCAAAAAATGGCACTGTCAAGTATTAGTAAGTACTTAAAAATTACTATTTAACACTCTTGCTTATAAAGACCTTTCTAAAAACTAAATGTCTAAACTTATGGGTACCACAGAGTATTTTAAGAAACCTTTGTTCTCTGTATAAGGGGCCATTTTTTTTAAAGAGCTATCTAATTTATCAATCACCCTTTTATGAAACAAAAATATTCTAATATAGAAATCTTGGGCTGAACTTCATTGTAAGACTCTTAATACATTATCTAAGACCCATTTGACAAATACCTGCTGTCTTCGAGGACCTTGCTTTCAAAATCAGTATCCCCACCCTAATCACAGGAGGGCATACTGGTTTTATGGGTAGGGGTGTGTGTGTGTGTGTGTGTGTGTGTGTGTGTGTGTGTGTGTATGTGTATGGTAAGGGGTATCCTTAAAATTGCTGCAAGGGGGGAACCAGCAGTTAGCGTAATGGCTATGTCGCTGGATTCCCACATAGTCGACCGCGGTTCATGTCCCGGACCCGGTGGCTTAAAACTCACGCCGGGCGCGTGTGCGTGCATGCCCAAGATCCCGAGAGGAGAATGGAGGAGAAGGGATTGCGGCATGACCATCCCCCCTGGGGGGGTGATTTCTCGCTTTCTGTCTCTATGTCTCTCTCTGTCTGTCTGGCGAGCGCACACGCCCTACAGTGAAAATGTCTCCAAAAAAAAAAAAAAATGCTGCAAGGGGATCTTCAAATTCATGTACATCAAGCATATTCTTGATAGGTAATATTCTTTGGCCTTTTTTTCAATTTGTTGAGTCAACAGAAAAGTCATTATTTATTTTTTTAAATAATTATTTAATTTTATTTATTCGTTCATTTATTTTAATTTGATCAGAGAGAGAAAGAGAGAGGCAAAGTGAGAAAGCAAGCCACCAGGTCCAGGACTTGAACCGTGGTCGGCCATATAGGAGTACCAGCACCTGAACCACCATACCACCTGCTGGCTCAGAGAGGTTTTTTGCTATAGAGCACATGCGCTCAACAGAGAGACAGAGAGAGATAGTGAGACAGAAAGCAAGAAATCATCACCCCCCCACCCCCAATGACCACACCACAATCCCTTCTCCTCTGTTCTCCCTGTTCTCCTCTCAGGATTTTGGGCACACATGTACATATGCCCAGCATGAGTTTTAAGTTATTGGGTCCAGGACTCGAACCATGATTACTACATGGGAGGGCAGCAACATAACCATTACACCATCTATTGCCAGTCATGATACATTTTTGCACAGAAAAAAATACGTCATGACTTTTGATGACCCACTATATAAAAATATCAATATAATTTAAGGTAGTAGCCTTTGATACTACATGTTTTTTAAATTAACACAAGATTTAGCATCATAGCCCACTACAAAGGAATCAGACAGGGGTAGTAGTCATTGGAAGATACCACAAGATGCCACAGTGCATTATCACTATCATTAACTCTTAATATTATTTCAAAGGCAATCTGCATTTATCAGATTATGCATTTTTTATTTTTTTAATTGCCAGAGGACATGTTCACTTGCTAGAGATAAACAGTGAGATGGAGAAAGCAAACTGGCAATGGTATGGTTATACCACAGTCCCTTCTCCATTTCTTCATGCTGTCTGGATTTGGGGGCAGACAGGCATATGGCCTGATAGGTTTCCCCCTGGGGTCAGGATTCAAACCAGGAATCTGGCTCCCTTAACCACTAGGCTATGGAGCTGGATCATAGTTGGTTTATTTTGTGTGCATATTAACATTTGTCTCTCTGCAACTGTGAGGAATTTATTCCATGACTCCCTATGTTTACTAAAATACACAGATGTTCAAGTCCCTTATATAAAATGGCATACCATTTGCAAATAACCTACACATATCTTCCTGTATACTTTAAGTTACCTCTAGATTACTTAGAATACCTAATACAATGTAAATGCCATGTAAATAGCTGTTACACTGTATTTTTTAATTTTTATTTTTTACCATTATAGGTACTTTATTTATCCTAATATTTTCATCTGCAGTTGGTTGAATCTATGGGTACAGCAACTCATGAATACAAACTGTATACCTGTCTATGTGTACATATGTATGCCACTGGCACACACACACGTGAGTGCACACACACAATAACACAGACCGTGTTACTTTAATACTATTTGAATACACAAACATTATATAAAGTATTATTTGTTAGAAAGAACTACCCCAATGTTTAATCTTTTATTACCTTCAGTGAAGGATGAATTTTGTCCACAGGTAATAAAAGAGGATTTCTTCGTTTTCTTTTCTCTATAGCAGATTGTGCATCAGCGATAGCCCACTTATCAATTGGATGAGGAAAGGTCTTTTGAACTCGTTCCTGTTACAGATCATAGCAGTACCATTGTCATATTAGTCAAAGTGTTTATAAATACAAAGTTCATATAAAATTCAACTTGATCACTACCTTTAGTCCTAGCAGGCAATAGTAATATGCCTAATATGTCCTGATTCCTGTTATAAAATGAATGTTTTGGTTTTCTAAAAAAGTCAACACGACTATCAAGATTTTTCCACATCATTTCCATGGGAAAGGTAGGGATGGCCAATAGCACAGTGGTTAAGGCGACTGGATCCCACATGGCTGACTGCATGGTTCAAGTCTCAGATCCAGCAGCTTGAAAAACATAATGGATGTGTATACATGCATTACCCAAAGGAGAAACAGAAAAGATTGTGGCATGACCATCCACCATGGAAGGTGCTTTCTCACTTTCCCCCTCTTTCTCTCTAGCTCTCTCTGGCCAGCACATGTATCCTTTAGCAAACAGAAGGACAGAAAGACAAAAATTAAGAGGGAGAAAGGGAGAGGAAAAGAGGGAGAAAGGTAAATTTAAAAAGCTTTAAACATAATATGAATCAGAACAAGGAAAAAGCAATAACATACTGGATATATGGAGACTAAATCTAACATGAAATATCCTGGATATATGGAGACTAAATCTAACATGAAATATCCTATCAGTGATTTTAAGTTACAGTTCTAGAGTTAAAGTTACAAGTTAACTCATTAATTTTCAGGTAGCCACTCTCCTTTTGCTATTTTTTACAACTTCGAATACAGAAAATTTCAAAAGAACAGATATCATGTACCTTTTGGAATACCACGTAGATAGAGAGCTCAGAATGACTACAGAAATACAAATTTTGGAAAAAAACCAGCTTCTGCAGACCACCTAATCTTAATCAGTGATTGGCATGAATAATAAATACTGGGACCAGCAGGTGGTGTGGTGGTTAAGGTGCTGGGCACTCCCATATGGCCAACCACAGTTTGACTCCTGGACTGGTGGCTTCCTTTCTCACTTTCTTTCTCTCTCTCTCTCTCTCTCTCTGGTCAAATTAAAATAAATAAATAAATAAATAAATAAATAAATAAATAAATAAATAAATAAATAAATAAATAAATAAATAAATAAATAAATAAATAAATAAATAAATAAATAAATAAATAAATAAATAAATAAATAAATAAAATAAAGAACTACTGATCTCTGAATTAAACTCCAAATTAGCAGGGTTTCCTATTTTTAAAATTATATTCTTCAGTTTTAACAAATTTAGCAATGTATGAGTTCTACTTGTTCTACATTCTTTTCTCTTTTTCTGACACTTTTCTTCTATGGCAGATTTCCTCTCTTCCCTCCGTCCATCCCTCCCTTCCTTCCTTCCTTTCAACTGCAACAGGGTACATGTGCTTGTGAGAGAGAGAAAAAGAGTAAGCACCTCCTTGGGCCAGTTGGTGGCATGGTGACTGAGGAGACTGGAACCCACAAGGCCAACTGAATGGGTCGAGTCCTGACATAGTGGCCTGAGAATACCTGGACATGTGTGTGTGCATGCCCAAAATCGAGAGAACAATGGAAGAGAGAGGTGTGGCCATCCTCCCTGGGGGCTGCTTTCTAACTTCCTTTTAGCCTCTCTAGTGAGCACATATGCCTTACAACAAATTAAAAATAAAATAGCCCCCAAAAAGGCATGGTCACACTGCAATCCTTTTTCCTTCGTTTCTCCATCCCATGAGGATTTTGGATGCATGTGCATGCACACACAAACACACATGATGTATTTTTCTAGTCACCAGGGCTAGGACTCCAACTGCAGTTGGCCATGTGGGATCTGACACGCTATTAACAGTGCTTAACTTCTGCACTATGGAGCCAACCCTAGTTCCTCTACATTCTTACCATTTATTGTTACCAGTCTTAATTTTTTTTTCTGTTTCAGTGTAAAGTGGTATCTCGTTATAGTGCTAATTTCAATTTCCTAGATATCAAGAGTTGCAGCATTTTTTCATATACTTATTGAGAAGCACATTCTGTTAAGAAGTGTCTGTTCAAGACTATTTTTTAAAAAATACACATTACAGGAACCAGCAGTTGGCACAATGGCTATGTCGCTGGACTCCCATGTAGTCGACCATGGTTCGAGTCCCGGACTCAGTGGCTTATACTCATGCTGGGTGTGTGTGCATGCATGCCCAAGATCCCAAGACGAGAATGGAGGAGAGGGGATTGCAGCATGGCCATCACCCCAGGGGGTGATTTCTCGCTTTCTGTCTCTCTGTCTCCGTCTTTCTGGCGAGTACACACATCCTATAGCAAAAACCTCTCAAGAAAAAAAAAATACACATTACACATATTTTCACCTAGTCTGTGACTTACACCTTTTATCTTCTTTCTTTAAAAAAAAAAAAAAAAGTCTGCTCAAGGGAGTGTGCATTCACCACAGGGAGACTAAACAAGAGAGGGAAACTGAGAAAGTACCCTCCATGAGGAATGGTTATACCACAATCTCCTTTCCTCCATTTCTCCATCCCTTCAGGATTCTGAGCACACACACACAGGCACCTGGTTTGTTTTACAAGCTGCCAAGTCCTGAACTCAAACTGCTTAGTTGGCCATGTGGGATCCAGCTCATGTAACTATCATGGCATAGGTTGGTCCCATACTTTTATTTTCCATGTTTTGAGTTCTCTCTAAAGACTTTTTACCTAAATTCAAATTACACAGATGTTCTCAGGCATTTTCTTCTAGAAACTAAGGTTTTGTGTTTTGTTTTGTTTTGTTTTAGATTTTTTTCCCATGGAGGAAAATTTTTTTCAGAGGGAGACAGAGACAAAGAGAGAGGTAAAGTGAGAAATCATCCCAGAGAGGGGATGGCCATGCTGCATTTCCTTTCATTCTCCTCTTGAGATTTTGGGCATGTATGCGCACATGGCTGATGTGTTTTTCACATCACCAGATCAGGAACTCAAACCATGCAGTCAGTCATGTGGGATCCAGCACCTTAACCACACCACCTGCTGGCCCATACTAACAGCTGTTACATCGAAGGCCATCTTGAATTCATTTTTGTCTGTGGTACGAGATAGGTTTTAAGGGGTTTTTCTCATGAATTTATCCAGTTCTTCTACTTTTTTTATTTTTTGCTAAAAAAACTTTCCTCAATGACTTGTCATATCTTTGTCAAAAATTACCTGATCATTGGGAACCAGCAGTTAGCGTAATGGCTATGTCGCTGGACTCCCACGTAGTCGACCGCGGTTCGTGTCCCGGACCCGGTGGCTTAAAACTCACGCCGGGCGCATGTGCGTGCGTGCCCAAGATCCCGAGAGGAGAATAGAGGAGAAGGGACTGCGGCGTGACCATCCCCCCTGGGGGGTGATTTCTCGCTTTCTGTCTCTATGTCTCTCTCTGTCTGTCTGGCGAGCGCACGCGCCCTATAGTGAAAATCTCTCCCAAAAAAAAAAAAAATTACCTGATCATATATATCACACATAATTCCAAAAATTTTGTTTTCCCCAGTAATTTAAAGATAAAAAAATTAATTTGTACACTGGTTCAGTGACTTTTTGAAGTAAGAAAATAATTTTTACCTCCACATCTTGAACAGTCCGTGGTTGGGCCATGCACAATTTATTAAGCAGCTGAAAAATCAGCTCTTCAATGTAATAGAGAGACTCTTCGTTGGCTGAGAGAGTGGGATGTACTTGCTCCTGAACCTTTAAAAGAAAAGTTCTCAAATGTTGAACAAATGTCCAGAAGGACCATATTTAACTAATAATATTTCACTAGAACTATTACTCAAACCCAGACATAAAACAAAACAAAACAAAAAACCCTTATTTGTTGGACTGTGTAAACTTTTCTCAACCCACAAAGCAGTGGTTCTTAAACTTTTTTGGATGTTCTGGAAATCTATGGAAAGCCACCGAATCCTCTTGACCTTATCAAATATATGTACACATAAAATATTCTATTCAATTTCAGAGGAATCATGGATATAATAATACACATATCTCCTTTAGGACCAGGCAGTCTAACTTACTAAAACCTCACCACATATAGCTATTGAACACCTGAAATTTAGTTCCACTAAACTGAAAGTATAAAATATATATCAGATTTCAAAAATGTATTACTTTAAAAAAGTCAAACAACTCAATTTTTATATTGATTACATGCTGAAAAGATCAGACTCATTGGGTTAAACATATTATTAAAAGTAACACTGTTTTGTCTTTTTTTTTTTACTTACTTTTAAGTTTATTTATTTTTATTCATGATAGAGACTATGCAGATAGGCACAAAACGGAGAGGGGCACCCTCAACAGGGTCTTGTCATGCCACAGTCCCCTCTCCCAGCCCTCCAGATCTTCAGGACCCTGGATACCCACATCCAGAATGTTTTCAGGTTAACTCAGGTATCTGAACCCATAATCAACTATGTAACTTTCAGCACTGCAGTTTAGTCTGCTACTGACTATGCCACTAAGCTGGACCCTCATATTTTTCTAAATGTAACTATTAGAAATCTTTAAATTACATATGTGGCTCACATTATATTCCTATTAGATAGCATTGCTCAAGAGAAATGAGTATACAAGTTTAACCAGAAGGCACACACAAGAAGGTGCATAAGTAACATTAGCAATACCCCCCAAACTAGGAAAAAAAACCTCAAATATCCATCTAAAGTAGAGGAGTAAATTGTGGCATACTCTTACAATGGAATACACATAGCAAAAGAAAGGCAATAAATAACAGTACTGACATTTAATAAAACATGGATATAGCTTCAAAATAGTGTTACCAGAAATAAGCCAGATTTAAAGAACACATACAAAGGGATTCTAATTCACAAAGTTCAACATCAGACAAAATTATATATGGTATTTAGGGATACCTGCTTAGATGGGAAAACTATAAAATAAAGCAAAGCAGTGACTACTATAAAAGTGGTTACCTTTTGGAGAGTTATATTAAGAAAATTACTAACAATGTGCGAGCATTTATTGTTTCATTCACTTATCTGTAATTCATTAATTCATTTTTAATTTGCTAGAAGGTGTGTGAGTTCACAAAGAGAAACAGAGACAGCGAAAGAAAGGAAAAGTGAAAAACACCCTCCATGGGAGATCATCATGCTGCAATCCCTTCTCCATTTTTCCCTCCTTTTGGGATTTTAACCACACATGCACAGCTGCCCACCACAGTTGGCCATGGGATCCAGCCTCCTTAACCACCCCACTACTGGCTAGCCCTCTTTGTTTCTTTTTTAATAAGGTCTCATAATGTCACCAACCTCCTGCCTAAGCCTCATAGCTGGCTCACTTTTATTGAATGCAGAGAATCCAACCGGGACCTCCCATATGCCCTAACCCAGCCATGTAGGTATATATGGCATAGATAGGTCCAACATGCTGTTTTCTAACCTGAGTGATGGTTAAGGAGATCTTCTCTAAATCGAGTATTTTTTTATGCATTTTTCTAATTGTGTGTACACTTTATCATAAATAAGGTTTTAAAAAGTTAGAAAATCAGCAAATGGCGTGGAAGTTAAAGCAGCTGGATCTCACATGGCTAACTGTGTAGTTCAAGTACAGACCTTGTGGTTTGAAAAATCAATTGTATGTGTGAGTGCTTAAAGTCCTGAGAAGAGACTAGAGAAGAAGGGATTTGAGGCATGGACATCACCTCTGGTGGTGGTGGTGGAGTGCGGTTGATGATTTTTCACTCTCCCTCTCTCTCTGGCAAGTATACATGCTCAATAGCAAAACTAAAAAAAAAAAAAAAAAAAAAACCATATATATATATATATATGTGTGTGTGTGTGTGTGTGTATATATATATATGCATCTCCCACATACCCTTTATCATTAACTTTCTATAGTTTGTACTACACTAAAACAATGATATAAAAATCAAGAAATAAAAATTATAGGGCATAAGGAATGAAGGAATCAATACATAGGAAAGGTCAAAGGAATGTTCTGGATGAAACGAAGAGAAATTGTAAGATGAGAGCTATATGACAGACACAAAGGTCACCAATCCAGATTAGAACAGCTCAGAAGGCTCTAGAAGAAATTGTTTCAAGATGATAAGAGTATCTGATGAAATTAAAAATCTTGAGAAGAGGGGCCAGCAGGTAGTGTGGTGGGTAAGGCACTGGATCCCACAAAGACACCTTCATAGTTTGAGTCCCAGACTCAGCAGCTTGAAAAACACAAAGGGTGGCTCTTTCTCACTATACAAAATGGCAGGTGAAAAAACGGCAAAGCAGGATACTAAGGAGAAGAAACCTGAAGCCAAGAAGGCTGATGCCAGTGCCAAGGTTAAAAAGGGTGACCCCAAGGCCAAAAAGCCCAAGAAGGGGAAGCCCCATTGCAGCTGAAACCCCGTCCTACTCTGGGGCATCAGCAGATACTCCCCGTCTGCCATGTATTCCAGGAAGGCCATGTACAAGAGGAAATACTCAGCCGCTAAATCCAGGATCGAAAGAAAAAGGAGAAGGTTCTTGTGAATGTCACAAAACCAGTCGGTGGAGACAAGAATGGTGTTACCTGGGTGGTTAAACTGCGCAAAATGCCTAGGTATTATCCTACTGAAGATGTGCCTTGAAAGCTGTTGAGCCTCAGCAAAAAACCTTCAGTCAGCATGTGAGAAAGCTGCGAGCCAGCATCACTCCCAGGACCATTCTGATCATCCTCACTGGACGCCAGAGGCAAGAAAGTGGTTTTCCTGGAGCAGCTGAGCAGTGGCTTGCTCCTTATAACTGGACCGCTGGTTCTCAATCGAGTTCCACTGCGTAGAACACACCAGAAATCTGTCATTGCCACCTCCACGAAAATTGATATTAGCAAAATAAAAATCCCAAAGCACCTTACCAATGCTTACTTCAAGAAAAAGAAACTGCGGAAGCCCAGACACCAGGAAGGGAGATCTTCAACACAGAGAAGGAGAGATACAAGATTTCAGAGCAGCGCAAGATTGATAGGAAAGCTGTGGATTCGCAAATTTTACCAAAAATCAAAGCTGTTCCTCAGCCCCAGGGCTACCTGCGACCCGTGTTTGCCCTTACAAATGGAGTTTATCCTCACAAATTGGTGTTCTAAATTTTTTGCCAAGAACCTAATTAAATAACTGATCATATAAAAGACATACACACAGACACACACACAAAAGGTGTATATTTGTGCATGCCTAAAGACCCAAGAAGAGAACGGAAGAGAAAGGATTACAGCGTGGCCATCCCCTCTGGGGGGTGATTTCTCACTTTCCTATTCTTTCTCTCTCTCTCTTTCTCTCAGGGAAGCATATGCACCATATGGCAAAAACCTAAAAACAAAAACAAAAACAAAAAACAGACTACTCTTTGAAGAAGTTTGGGTAAGTGTCTAAGAAAGACAGTTAGAAATTTGTATAGGTTGGGTCATCAGGTAGTATAGTGGTTAAAGCACTGGACCCCCACAAGGCTGATCATGGTTCAAGTACCAAATCTGGCAGCTTACTTTCTCACTTTCTCTCTCTCTCTCTCAGGTCAAGCTAAAAAATAACAATAAATAAATAAAATTAAGTAATTCTTTTCAAAAAAAGAAAGAAATTTATATAGGGCCAACATCCAAAATTTCAGGTTTTAAAATACATTCTTCTTATAAATTCGAGATAGGTTTTATATTCATAAATATTTCTTCTTACATCCTGTACTTTAAAGTGACAAAAGAACACTTAACTACGTCTTAACCATAAGTTTCTACTAGAGCAACAGAGTAAACAAATTACTTTTTCTGCACCAGTCCTGTGGTCTGGTGGTTAAGGGCCAGATCCCACATGGTTGATGGCATGGTTCAAGTCCCAGCTTTGGAGGCTTGAAAACCAGACTGGGCCCGTGCACATGAATGAACAACAGGATGGAGAGAGAAAGGAGAAGAGACTGCAGCATGACCACATCCCATTGTGGGGGGTTCTTTCTCCTGTCCACCCACCCTCCCCCCTCCCCGATCTCTCTCTGGCAAGTAACATGTGACTTTTAATTTAAAAAAATGTTCTAGAAGACTTTTTTTACATATTGGAAATATAGCAGTTGATGCCATAAGGCTGTTTCTCAAGATATATTTCCATGAAAAGACAAGGAATCTACTCAGTGAAAATGAATATACATGAGAAGATAACGTCTAGGGGCCAGCAGGTGGGTATAGTGGTTGAAGCGCTGGTCTCTCATGTGGCAGACCAAGGTTCAAGTCTCAGACTCGACAACTTAAAAATCATACCAGGCACATGTGCATGAGTGCCCAAGATTCCAAGAGGAGAACGGAGAAGGGACTGCAGTGTAGCCATACCCCTGGGGGGTGATTTCTCACTTTCTGTGTCTGTCTTGCCAGTGAGCATACTTGCTCTAAAACAAAAATCTTTAAAAAATAAATAGATAATGTCTAACTGAGATGGATTTTCTTCTAAGGTTATGCTTTTGGTAAATAACCTGCAAAGCAATTTTAGCAGTATCAAAGTTTCTTATGTTAAACTTCTCCATTTAATTTCAAATATGGAAACAATCATAAAAACAAATATATATGACAAGCCTCGTGGCACCATCAATGGGTAGCAAATTGAACTGCAGTGCTGGAAGACTTTTGGCCAACTGATGGTTTGGATCCCTGGGTTGACTTGAAAACAAACCAGGCACAAGGACAGGGGATCACAGAGTAATAACACTCTGTCAAAAGTGCTCTTCTCTTTCCCCGCCTTCTCTCTCTCACACATGCACACACATGCT